TGACGACACGGAAAGTATCATCGTTCTTGCATATCTTCCGCATGCTCCGTTTAAATATGAATATGTAGTAGGATAAAATTAATTCAGGTGCCTTTTCTGTGTTTTTATACAGTATTTCTTTACGCTTCTAATACTGCGTTTTCTGTTATTGTAGGAACCTGCCAATATTGATGAATGTGAGGCAAATACTTCGCAATATCGCGACCAATTTACATTTGAAGGACAATGTTCACAATATGATGACAATTCACTGAATGAGCAATGATAATTGTCCGAATGATACCAAAAAATTATGTACATATTGTTTTCTACAAATAGTTTTTTTTTCAATGAATTATCCATTTTCCATACTACGCGCCTTGTACTTTCAAGAAACAACCCATTGGGACGCTTGGGGGTTGGAGGGAAATGGGGCTAAAATGGATTAGGATAAGGCGTCATATTGCCCGATTTTTTTCCAAGACGGGGGTAAACGGGTTGAAATCCCCGTCAGGAACCCCGCCCTAAGTGGGGCTAAACTGGGATTGTGCTGGCAGGGTAGCTTAGCCTGTTGTTCACATCGGAATCAGAGCTGCCTTCTTCCTACACCGATGATCCCTCCATTTACCTTTTGTGCAAATAAGCAACGTGTACTATTTACAATTTACTTTTGTTTCAGGACACCAATTTATTCAGCATTTTGGTCAACAACCCAGTGGGATGCACGAATACCGATACCTTCGCAGATTCACATTAAATGTCCCAATATTATCTATTGGTGCCCAGGGTCAAAAAAGTTACCGAATGCATTTTAACTTTTCACACTGTTCTAATGCTAAAAGTTCAGAAACTAGGTATTGTTTTTTCACACCACAAGAGGGGAGGCTAATTAAATTTCATGTGCCTTGTGGTTTTCCGCCTGGTTCCGTTTGCTGTTTTTCTCAGCAAATGCCTGATCTAGAAAGTGCCATGAGGCTACGAGTAATTTTTGATGGGTAAGCGGCCTTTATCATTTACAGTCCTTTTAGCATCACAACCTTGACCGACGTGGACACTCTTCGGGACTATGATAACCTATGCGAGGAAATACGTAGTTTGTATCATTTTCCTGCGCAGTCAGTGTTCACATTGAAATGGATTGACGATGAAAACGATCCATGCATGCTTACGAACGAAGCTGAATTACGCGAGGCCCTCAGACTTTATAAATTGAGCAAAGAAGCATTTCTAACTCTACATGGTTCGTAAACCTGCATTATTCTATTGTCTACTATAGTAGTCTGAGCGTGACTGTAACTACTATATTTTCAAATATTTTTAATCTTGACTCACAGATTGATTAAGCTCCTGAAAATAACCATTTGTTTTCGAAGTTTCATAGTTTAGTTGCTGTGGGGATTAGTCAACCCGTATAATGTTCATGCATAATTGCCCTTTTTGGGGATGTCAATCTACCACTAATTTAGAGCTAGAGGAAGCAAAATTTAACTGACGTTTATGCATTATTCGTGGCCGATAAGGGCAGTTTGGCGTTAGGTCCACTGAATTCTTTAATGACGTCTTCTTGATCTAAATGCTTACATGGAGCGTGCGCACGTTTGATACATTACTGTCTCGTACCTCCATAAAGCACAATGTGTATCGTTTCTTGATCATATATTGACCAGAAGTTATGATTTACATTGATCGGTGACAGTCGTCCTACGCACAAGCCTCACTATGGAATTCGGAATCACTGGCGCCACCATAGTCAGGTGTCCAGCGCCGAATTCTCCTTTATTGTTCCTTGCACCCCAAGCGTACAATTTTAATAAACTATGATTTAATTATCACCCACGAAGAACGCAGCGGCGGCACAGGTCAAATGATCTCATAACTTTTTTCCTGCTGCCGCTTGTTCTAGGAGTAGTGGTATTCATGCTGCCACAAAATTTTGAGGTAAATGCCCTCCCAATAACTGTCTGAGGGTATAGAACTCTTTGAGTAAGTTGACCGTTTAAATTCACACATGCGTTGAATAATTTCCTCACCCACAACGTTTTGTTTCCCAGAAGATGTAATTTGGCTTGCAATTTAAACTTTTCTGCTATAGACGTAGTTTTTGAGTGGGGGCTAACAAAACCGTCACTAATTTATGGATTGTGCAAGAAGCCATGTATCTTCTTGTCTGTCACATTCTCATCTTCCGTGCACTTGATGACGATGGCGATGAAATGCCAAAGTAAAGCCTTGTCTTTGATCAAATTCTACCTTCGTGTTCGTAGCAATTTTCTGATAAGAAGTTCCTTAGCTCTCTTATCCATCCTGGCTGGTTGACCATTTATTCATTAAATAGAGGATGAAACCGTGGATTGTAAGATTGAATGAAGTCCTCCTGACAGAGTGAGGGAAGGAAGAAATCAAGGCCTGCAATGGTTCTGTTTGTAGTGTTTTAGTCATAGATGCTATATCCAACAACTATGATAGGATGTGTAGCAGTCGTTCCAGCCACTTTTAAACCTGTTGTGCGAGTGTTCGAAGTGCGTCTGCAAATAAGATTGTCACGCTGTCCCAGAATTTCAATAGGACGCACAAGTCATTTAGTAGAGAAAACTACCGAATTAGGCCTGGGCTGCCTGCAAGATTGCATGTCCGCTCGCTGTTATAAGAGGTAGGTGGGAGGAGGAATGTAGTTATAGGTGACAGGGTAACAGTGATCTAACATGGTGTAAAAACGTATATGTGTTCCACAACCCTGCTGGCCACTCTATTATGTAAATACTTCTAACTGTGCCGGGATATTTGTCGTAGTGTGTTCGTCGTGTACATTTTACCTTTTGAAGTCGTAGATGGAACTGGGCGCCTGTTAAAAGTAATGCTGTATAGCCAGTCGGTGAATCCTGCAAGTTTTATCCCATATGGGACACCCACACAATTCTAAAAGAGTGGTACTTTTATGTGCCTCGAGTCACCTTTGCCATCAAATAACCTTTAAAAGGATGAATTTATATACCGGACTACCTTTGCACACGACCAGTTCATAAAGTTTCAATGGTTCTGGAAGAACGTGCGTAATGTTCCTTCTTTTCCCTTGCTCATCTTTAATGCTAAATGCTACGATATCCACCTTGCCTAGAATCAGTTTGGCCGCCGAAATAAACTGTCCCCTATTCTGACTAGATGGTCGTTGGGTTGTCTGACGAAGAAGGCCGAATGGTTTTTATTATGTATTTCTCCATCAATTTTGAGTTTGCGGCCTTCTAAGGGTTGATCTATTATTCCTAGCTTTCTCTCCAAAGTTAAACTTGTATTATTCCCCACTCAGGTTCTTTATTGACGTACTATGGGCTTCTTGATTTCAGTTTTCCTTGGTGCTCCTCCTGAACCGGGAATGCTCTGTCCGGGAGAAGACTGTAAGTGAAACCCATCTTTCTCTATGTTAGCATTTTCAATATGCAGTAGACTGTCTAGAGGACTGCAATACTGCATTCATGCTGTTGTTTTATAGTTGCGACGTTGAGGGTACTATTAGAACAAAGGCTATTTCGTCGCAAGGAATTGTCAATTCCCCATAACCTTCTAAAATATTTTTCTTCATGAAGGCAACTTGCGTTACTCGGGAATGTTTTTATCACCGGAAA